GGAAGGCCCCCAAAGGCATACTGTATCGATTTCTCTTTAGTTTTTGAATGGTCCTCGCCTCTTCTGCTTCTCAACGCTCTGCGGCGGCCCAAGAGGCCCCCAAGATCGCCCCAAGACGGCCCAAAGTCCTCCAAGACGTTCCCACAAGGGCCCAAAAACACCGCAAGACGGCCCGAGACGCCTGCAAGACAGGCCAAGAAGCACCCAAAACGGCTCCAAGAGGCTGCCCAGACGGGAGACCCGAACGGACATCTCGAGCCCTCGCCCACGAGAAGCTCTCAGGAGGCCCCAAGAGGCCTCCAAGACGCCCCCAAGTAGCCCCCAGGAACCCCCTGGAGGCCCCCAAAAGGCTTCCAAGAGGCTCTCCAAGAGTCCCCCCAAAGGCCTTCGAAAGCGCTCCGAAGACACCCTGGCAAGCACCCCCTCCTTCCGCTGCTCCTCACCCTGCTCCTCCTGTTTCTCCGTCTCGTCTTCATCGTCCTGCACCTGCTCATTTCCTTCCTCGACCTCCTTCTGCCCCAACTCCCCCTCCTCATCCTCCTCCGCATGCTCTTCCTCATCCTCCCCCTCCTGCTCCACGGCGTCCTCCTCCCCCACATGCTCCTCCTCCTCCTCCTGCTCCTCCTGCTCTTGCATCTCCTCCTCCTCCTCCTCCTCCTCATCATCATCATCATCATCAGCATCATCATCATCAGCAGCAACATCATCAGCATCATCATCACCACCACCACCACCACCACCACCATCATCATCATCATCGTCATCACCATCACCATCACCATCACCATCACCATCATCAGCATCATCATCATCATCATCATCATCATCATCATCATCATCATCATCATCATCAGCATCATCATCATCATTTTCATCATCATCACCACCATCACCATCACCATCACCATCACCATCACCATTACCATCACCATCACCATCACCATCACCATCACCATCACCCTCACCCTCACCATCACCATCACCAGCAGCAGCAGCATCATCCTCATCCTCATCCTCATCCTCATCCTCCTGATCATCCTCCTCATCATGCCCCTCCCCCTCCCCCGCGTGCTCTCCCCCCGGTGCTCCGCAATCTTATCTCGACCTCGTTCTACCCATCCTCCTCCTCGTCCTCCTGCCCTTCCTCCTCCCCCTCCTCCGCGTCCTCCTTCCTCTCCTGCTCCTCCGACTCCCATTATCGTCGTCCTCCTATTGCTCCTTCCCCCCCTGTCCTCCCCCTGCCCCTGCTCCCCCTCCTCATCCTCCTCCGCATCCTCCTCCTCCCCCTCTTGCTGCTCCACCGCGTCCTGCGCCTCCTCCTGCTGCTCCTCCTCCCCCTCCTCCTCCTCGTCCTCGTCGTCGCCGTCTTCAGGGTCGGCGGCACCGGCCGAAAGGCCTTCACAATAACATACGTTGGCGGAAAAGAGGAATGCTCCTCCGAACGCGACGTGAACTCTTGTACAATCGGGGCGTTGACCTAAGGAACCCTAAATAAGGAACGAGGCCCCTTAGATCCACAAGTTGGACTTCGATGTCCCATCGAAAACCAAAGCAACACCCAAGGCAAACTGTGAAGCAATCAAGGAACACGGAGCCCCTCCCCAACGAAAAGGGTTCCTTCTTCAGGGCCCCGACTGTACCAAACTTTCTTCAAGTGCGAAGGCCCCGGTAGAGAGAGAGGGAGCTCGCTCGCTCGAGCGAAGGACAAGAACCAGCCACCAAGTATGTCCACAAGAGGATGCCACCGGACAAGAGGCTGAATCCTGGAGGCCTGGACAGGGGCACCAACACCAACACAAGTGGCTGCTTCCACAGGGGGAAGATGATCCCAGATCTCGATATTGGTGGTAATAGTTCGGCCACCCTGAAAGCCAGAATCATTACCACCATCACCGAGATCGGGATCTTCTTCCCTTGGTGGAGGCACGCCGCCGATGTTGGTGTTGGTGTCGACCTCTGGGCATGCGAGAATCGCTCAAGAGCTGGCGGACAGCAGAACCCGAGACTCTGAGCGAAAACGTTCTATCCAAATTTGTCGCTGTGGCACGCCGGGCGGCGCAAGCTCAAACACGAAGGCGTGAACATCTGGGGAGAGAGGGGGGTGGGGAGTCCTCCTCCTCCTCCTCCTCCTCCTCCTTTCTCCCCCTCCTCCTCCTCCTCCCTCCTCCTCCTCTCCTCCTCCCTCTCCTCCTCCTCCTCCTCCTCCTCCTCCTCCCCGAGGCGTCATCCGTCTCCTCGCTCTCCTCTCCGCCTGCGCCTCCTGGAGGAGGATGGGGCGGGGCGAAGGGCAAGAAGGGGAGGGGGGGGGGGGGGCGAAAGGGGAGGGGGAGGGGGAAAACGTTGGAAGGGAGCCCTGACTCCAGATCCGCCCTACTTTGGCTTTTTTTCCAACAAAAACTGCGTCGGAAATCCACCTATAAGGAGCCGAAAAGGTAGGGCGGAAATTTCTGCACCCAGCATAAAATAGGGCGAAAATCCACAGAAGTAGGGCGGAAACAACAACAGAAAAGTAGGGCGGAAATTGGCATCAGCGGGGCTTGAAAAGCAAGGCGGAAATTCCAAGCCCTACTTACGAGTTTCCCCGAAATAGGGCGGATCCGGAGTCAGGGAGGGTCCTGAGGATGGTCTTGGTGTACTTCGTGTCCCCCATGCCATCCTCCTGCATCTTCTTCAAGAGCTTGTGGCCGCCCTGACCGGGCAGGCAAGGGCCCCCTCCCCCTCCTCCCCCCCTGCCTCCACGGAGATCGTGCCCCACGGGAAGCTCCACCGACGGCCACCTTTGCGAGGTTCGCATGCGTTCCCCCGCCCATTCCGCGGCGCGAAAAATTTACACCCAAAAAAAATCACGGCCCGAGCCCTAGACCCCATCTTCCCGCACTTTTTCGAATCGGATCGATCTGTGAGGGTCCTGGGGCCCGAAACCTGGCGAAAACGCCAGGCTCGAACAAACTGAGACGCCAGGATCTCAGAATCCGGCGCACTCACATGCGCACCCCCGACAGTGTCGGCGCACCCCGCACACGGATCGTGCCCCACATGGAGCCCCACCTACGCCCCCGGTGGATGGATTCACGTGCATCCCACCGCCCGTGTCGATGCACCCCGCTCACGGATCGTGCCCACTGTTCGGGAGCTCCACCTACGGCCCCAGTGGCAGGGCCTGCTTGGGTCCAAGGATCGTGCACCATTCGGCGGCGAGCCAGGGGGGGAAGTGAGAAGGAGAAGGCCTTCCCAGAAGGCTCGGAAGTTCCCCGGACTGCTGAGAAGTTTTCTAAGCCTTCCCCGAAGACAGAACACACTTCTCAGAAGGCGCGAGGGCTTCTGAGAAGTCCCGCCGCGTTCTGAGAAGGCCTCCTCTCCTCCTCTCCCCCCTCGCTCGTCGCCGAACCACAAGTAGGGATCTCCACCCACGGACCAAAGAGGGAAAGTTCGAATGCGTCCCCCCGCACTGTTTCGGCGCACACCGCGCACGGATCGTGCCCTTCAAGAAGCTCCACGGGAGGCTCGGCGGCCGGGCTCGCCCCCGTGGCCATACAGCTCCACCTGCGGCCCCAGAGGCAGGGCTCGCACGCGCCACGCAGCCACTTCGGCACACCCCTCGCGCAGATCGTGACTCACCGGGAGCTCCACCTACTGCTCCAGCGAGGGCGCTCCACGCGCTCTTTGCGTCGGCGGCTGGGCAGAGGGACTGCTCCGGCGATGTGGACGCCCTACGCACACATCGTCCGCATTCTCCCTCTCCTCCTGAGCTTCCTGCGGCTCCTGCGGTTCCTCGTCCTCCTCCCCCGGTGGGTGCAGGGTGCGGACTCGGAAGCGGGAGCACAACCACGAGAAAACGAACTGACAAGAGGGGCCGCGACGAGGGAAGAGCGAGGATGGGGCAGAGCGGGCCAGGAGGGGCCGGAGAAGGAGGGGTGCAGAGGAGCGCGAGCCAGCGAAGCACGAGGGCGGAGATGATGTTGTGCCCGTCCTACTTGAGGTTCCGCACCCCAGAAAGAATTTCGAGCACCCATATTAAAGTGTCGAGAGAGTGTCGAAACAGTGTCGGGCGAGTGTCTCCCAGGGCCCGGCACGTGAAAACCCTTGAGTTTCGGTACTTTTTCGGGCGCTCGAAATTCTTCCTGCCGACTTCCTGGCGATCAAGGCTAAAGTAGGTTGGAGCATCACAAGGCGGAGAGAGATGCTCCCCAAGGGCAGGCGAGAAGGGAGAGGGGGAGCAAGTCCAGGTAGCCGTTGTTGTCAGGGTCGGGCATGCCCCCCTGCAGGCGGACTTTGGACGAAAAACGTCGAGGACATGCAGAGCATGCCCAGCAACTGTCAACCAATGACCGAGGAGGAGGAGGAGGAGGAGGAGGAGGAGGAGGGGGAGGAGGAGGAGGCGGAGGAGGGGGAGGAGGAGAGGGAGAGGAGGGGGAGGAGGAGGATGACGAGGAGGAGGAGGGGGACGAGGAGGAGGAGGAGGAGGAGGAGGAGGAGGAGGAGGAGGAGGAAGGAGGAGGAGGAGGAGCCCCTCGATGTGTTGACTAATCTTGAAGACTCCTCCCGCAGCGGGACGGGCCCCATTTCCGGTGAGGCGAGGCCCGCACTGGCTTCAAGTGGACGGGCGAGAGCCGCCGCCCGCCGCCGCGGGAGCGGGAAGGGGGCCCGCGGCGGGCACCCGGGCCCGGCTGTTGGGGGTTGCTGTCGGACTTCAGCGGATAGGGCACGCGGAGGACGGGGGAGGGGGGAGGGGAGGTGGAGGGGGAGGGGGGGGGAGGGGGGGGGGGGGGGGGGAGGGGAGGGGGGGAGGAGGAAGCGGGACAGAGGGAGGAGCCGGGCGCGAGGCTCGCAGCCTGGCGGCGTGCACGTGAGGAGGCGGGTGCCCCCTGGGCGGCCCGCCGGGCGAGCCCGGAGGGCGGCCCGGCTCGAGGCCTCCGCGCCAGCCACGCGCAAAAATGCAGGAGGCATGGGTCGCAGGACACAGGACACGAGGGTGCCCTTGATCTGGCAGGGCCGACCTACTAGTCCAGGCCGCCTGCAGGTCGGGCGTGTCCTCCCACAGGCGGATTCTGGACGAAGCAAAACAAAAAAGAGTCAAACAATACTCAAACATAGGCAAACATAATCAAAACATCGTCCCCAGACCATGTATTGACTTTTTGTGGAATGTTCCTCCTGTAGAGGGACACGCCCGACTTCATGTCAGGGCCGACGTGGCCCTGCTGCCCCATGCGCGGCCAGCTCGGACGGGGCGCCACAAGTCTGCAGAGCTGTCCCCACAGAGGGGGATGGACACGCCACGTCGGCGAGGAGGGGGGACGACGATCAGCAGGAAGAGGTAGAAGGAGGAGATACGGCAGAGGGAAACAATTCGTGGACACTCTCCCGCCCCCCAAAACTCAAAGTTGGCACGCGCGGGGAAGACTGCGGCCGAAGTGCAACTCATCCAACCCACCGCCAACATTTTGATCATTGGGGAAGGCATTGACAGATGAACGCGGCATGAGTGTTCGCTAACTTCTTCCGAGGCCTGTAGGAGGGGAAGGTGGAGGAGCAGGACAATCAGGCCGCGAGAACACTGTGGAGATATGGAGAGTCACACCAACGGGACACGACGACCCTCAGAGTTGGGCATGCCCAACATCACAGCGCTGGCAGCGCAGAATCGGCCCTGCATAACAGCTTGCCTGCAATCAACTCCAACTCCTCTTTGGAAAGATGTGATCCTGCTGCCATCAATCGGCCCCGTCGCTCCGCGTCAACACTTCCTAGCGGCGGGGAAACGTTGAGCACATTATTGACATTGCCATTGTCGTCCACTGTCGGCAAATCCGTGCTCGCCATCCACTCTCCGTCGACAATGAACTTATACTGGTAGCTCCCAGCTGGGAGCCTCCGTCTGAGCACGAACCTGGCGCCACCTGCTTTCTCGAGCTGCACCCTGCTGCCCCAACCGACGTCCAAACCAGCAACCTCAACCGTGGCCGCTCCAGGGCGGTCGATGCCGACTTCGGCCTCGCAGAGACCGCCCTCCTCCCCTGCGATGATGTCGCACGTGGCCGCCCGGATCATGCCCACCTGCGGATGACACCGGCGCACCGCGAGCAGCTGCGCGAGCGCCGCGTCGAGTGGCGTTCCGTCGATCCAGGCCATGTAGCCCAGAGCCGTCGCCGGTGCGCGACCCAGCCCGGCCGTGCAGTGGACGTACGCCACCTGCCGAGGCCTCCTGGATGGGGCCCGAGCAGATGTGGTCCGAAGAGTGCACCGCACCGCCGATGCATCGGCGATGCACCGGCGACGCCGGCGAAGAGAAAGTCGGCCTCCGCATCGAGCCGCATCGCCGATGCCTCGCCGGTGCGGCGCCATCCTCCGAGCCCATCTGTTCGGGCCCCATCCAGGAGGCCTAGCGCCTGCCCTGCCGGCCGAGAGGCCAACTCCCGCGCGAGGCAGCCCACGGCTCCCGGCAGCTGCTGCCGCAGGTGGAACGGATCGAAGTCACGGATGGGCCGGCGCACGTGGGCCATGCCGAGCTCCGCCGCGCGTCTGCGGATGGGCTCTATGTCCAGCCCGAAGTGCGCCATGTCCTTGTCCTCCTGCAGGCTGAAAATGAGCCCGACCCCCTCCGCACGGAGCCTGTCCACGTCAGCGGGCGTCTGCACGCACGAGCCCACCATCAACCTGGGCGCGACGCGCGCGTAGTTCATGCCGGCGTCGTGCGAGTAGACCAGGGAGCTGCCCATCTTGGACTGCATCGTCTCCGAATACTCCTTGGACTGGTCGCCCGTCTGGCCCGGAGCGCCCGGCGACTCGCCAGGGCCGGTGCCAGACGCCGCGGCCACCGCCATGCCCGCGGAGCCAGGGGTGCCCCTTCTGCAGCAGAGAGGACGGGCGGCGGTTCGCGGGCCTCCGCAGCTCCTGGAGCTGGCGGGCGGAGGAGCTGGCGAGGAGCAGCTCTTGAGCCAATCCGCTGATACATGCAACTTGAAAGGTGCCCTGGGACACACAAGTAAAAAGAGACATATCCCAGGATTCCATGGTATTTCTGCGTGTTTTCTGGATTTTCGTCTTCCTCCCCACTCCCAATGGTTTCCCTACATTTTCCTGGGGGCCGACGATTAATTGTGCATGTGTGTTTTTTCCCTCCTGGCAATTCAGGGGGGAAGAGGGAAAGAGAAAGAGAGAGAGAGAGGACAAACAAAAAGACAGGGTACTCTGAACTGGCTTTGGGCACGATGCATCAAACAGAAATCTGGCAAACGAGCACAGCGTACAACAACGATTGCCATTCAAATATGACGCTCCTTTCCCGAGGCGATCTGGTGACTGACCGACTGATATGGCAACCTAATGTGATGAAGAACAGGCTTAAGGTCACCTTCGTTCGACGTCATGCACGAGTGCAAAATCCGCCGACCCGGCGTGCGAGCTACATACAAGGAGCCTCAGCAAGAGCTTCAGCTCTGAGCCTAAGCAAGAGCTTCAGCTCTGCTTGGGGGGGTCGCCGGGGTGGCTTTGCCGGGGAAGGGGGGAGAGGGGGGGGGGGGGCGGTTTTCCATCTGGCGTTTTCTTCATGATTTGCGCATCCGGACCCCCCCGGGGGAAGGGGGGATTGGGGGGGGGCGGTCCCCCCTTCTCAGATCTAGCCGCTACCTCCCACAGGACGCTCCCCTCGGAACCCTCCCGCCCCGCCCCCCCCAAGACCGCTCCAGGCACCCCCCCAGAGGAGAAGAAAAAGGACCAGGAGAATCGAGAAGGGAGGATGCCACAGAGCCGCGACGATCACCGAATCTCGCGCCCCTCGGATCGGCGGCACTGGCCGGAGGCCATTACAATGCATCGTGCAGTGTTCGCCAGCGCGGGCTCCAATCGCGCAAGTCGGCGGGCTCCCTCGGCGAACCCGCCCTGGCGCCTGGGCCCGGCCGCGCGGCACGTGGACGCGCTGGCCCAGCCGAAGAGCGCTCTGACCACAGCTGCGGGCTTCGGGAACGTAGCGTGCTCGGTCAAACCCGCGCGCCGCCCGCAACCGAATAGCTCAGCAGGGGCACGGCTCGAGCCTGGCCGCGAGCCCCGGCAGGGCTTCACTGCGGCATTCGGGCGACATTCGGCCTCCGCCGCAGGAGCCTCACACCCCCAACGCTGCAGCCTGGCCCCCCCCTTCAGCGCTGCCCCGCCCAGACGCTGCCAGAGCCTCGCGCGCGTCGCCCGCGCCGGTTGCGACATGGGTGGCATGTGCATTTGCTTACGCGAACTGAGGGGCGAGCCATGCTTCCCCTGCTTCGGGTGGCGCCGCGCGCCACGCCATGTGCATCCAGGGCGACTCGTAATATGATTCGCGCGCCTTCGGAGGAACGGGCTCCGCCGCCTCCCGAGCCCCGGCGAGCACTGCGATCCTCCCATCGCAATTAAGGACCACGTCCCAAGAATAATTTGAGCACCCTGGAAAGTATCGAAACAGTGTCGAACGAGCATTGCCTCCGACTCGCGAGAAACCTCCAGTTTCGGTACTTTCGTGGTGCTCGCAATTCTTTCCGGTGGTCAAGGCGAAAGTAGGTTGGAAATCATAGGGTGAGCACACGAAGGGCCACCACTGGGCCTTGCACCCTGCCCCAGCTCAGGGGGTCGGCCGGGCCGTCGTCGGACGGGGCCCGTCTGTCCAGGCCCGCGCACGCAGGCGCGCGGGCGCAGCGGCGGCCATGAGGTCCAGCCGCTCCGTGGCCTCCGTCGGAGAGCTCGCCTTCGCCAGAGCGGAGGCGGCGTTCCTTTCGTTTACGAGCCACGAGATGCCCCGCGCCCGCAATGACTCCGGGACTGCACTGTCCAACACAAACACTGCCAATAGTTCCCCCTGATTGGTGATGCCGCCAGAGCGGCCGCGCCACCGCGCGGCCACCAGCGGGGGCGGGTCGTAGACGACGGACGGGCGACGCCTTGGCACGAGCACCTTCGCACCAACGTGCAATCGCCCATCCTCCAAGGAGGCATCAGAGCACGCCGCTATCGGCGGCTGCGGCGGCGCTGACGACGAAACTGGCACGGCTGGCGCATAGCGGTCCGCCTGAAGCACCGCAGAGAGGCGTGAAACTTGGACCCCTCAGGTTTGGCCGTCGTGTCATCGAAAGACTGCGGCGCTACGACGGCGCTCAGCGCTGCCCTGCACGGCGCGCCCATGAACCTCGAATCCAGCCAACCAAGTCACTCACCTCGCGCCCGCACTTTGTCGTCTCCGCCTCGAACGCTTCCCTCTCCCCAAGTTTCGGGCCATGCGTGCTTACGTTATGAGTGGCGACCATGGCCAACTCCGTCAGTGCGCCCCAGAGAACTGGCATCGCTGTCTCTGGCTTGCGTTTCTTCGCGAACTACTAGGCACCTGCCAGCCTGCGCTGGTTCTGGGGCGCTGCTGGCCCGTCGCCGCGCAGCCCCGCAAACTCGAGGATGCCATCCACGTCGACATGATGCGCCCGCGCGATGAACAGCATCCGGCAGGCTGCCGCCATCAAACCTGCTGGCGCTCGACTAGAAACTGATTAGCCGCGGCAGCGAGTCCGAAAGGAAGACCTCGAATGAATGCATCAAGCCACTGCCGCTCCACCGGGTGAAATGCGGCCACCGCCACGAGGCCCATGTATTCCCTGCGCGGGAACAGCTGCCTCGAGCCGCCCCACCAGTCAGTCCTCCACTACTGTCTACAAGTGGAACCAGTCAGGCAGCTCCTAGCAGCCTAGCATGCAAGGAACGCGTTCTGGGCGGAGTAGCGTGCCATGAGGACCAGGAGGGAAGGCCAGCACGCGCACGATGGCTTCGCGCACCCGCGACGAGGCATTCGTCTTCGGCCTTCTCCCATCGTCTACGCAACTGCAGTTGCCGCGTAGCTCGACGACGCTGCGCGGGAGGGGGCGCGCCCCCCCTGCTCCAAGCCGCCGCCGCCGCAGCTGTTCGCGACTGACTGGCGGGTCAACGCGCCCCCCGTTGACCTCCTCCAGAATCAAGTCCAATGCGGTCTGCGCCACGTCGTCTGGCTCCGCGCGACTCTCGAGCTCGCTGATGAAAACTGCGGCGCTGGGCCTGGAAATCCGATCGTCGTCTTCCAGTTTGACGGGTTCTCCGGCCTGCTGCTGCTGTCGGCCAGTAACTGCCCGCCGGCGCAGAGTCGCCCGCAATTTCGGGCCCACTGGCCAATCTCAGCGGCAGCCCCTCGTCTGGCCACTGCGCGAGCACCGCAAGGAGGGCTACGAACAATTGACCCCGCGCCCGGGGCGCCCTCGATCGAGCGCTGCCGCTGGGCCAGCAGCGCGCTATCCGATTCGTGCACTGATTCTGCGACCTGCTTCGGCATCTCCAGGCCCCCCTGCCCTCGCTCGCCTGATACTTGGGCCCTTGCGCATGTAGCTGTGGATGACGAGCTGGAGGTCCAACTCGAGCTGCGGGCCATAGGCGAACGGGTGCTCGATAGGCGCGGCCGCGGCTTCATGCGCATTCTCGCAGACACCTGCGGGCGCCAGGCTGGCCGCCGCATCCAAGGCCCCAATGGGCCTGCGCTGTTCTTCCAAGCGTCGCGTTTATGCAGCCTGCTCCACGAAGCAGCTCGGACGCGGGCACCATGGCGAATTTCGCACTGGCGCGCTCCATCTCGGTCAACAAGCCTTTTCATTTCTCGTCGGGGAGTAGCCCGCAGGCCTCGTCGAATGAAAACCTCTGCTGGGGTCAGCTGCGGCTGCGTCGCAGCGGCCGCGCCCTGCTCGACGTTATCAGGGACCACTCGCGCGCGCGGAATGCTGGGCCCCCGCGTCTGCCGCGCGGCGAAGCGACCGCGAGGTCAGCCGATGCGAACACGGCCACCGTTGCCGCGGCGAGGCGAGGGGGGCGGCGTGCATGGCCCAGCGCGCGTAAGCGCGCATCCTGTTGGGCCCCCCCCTGCGCGGGGGTGCCAAATCGGCTGTCTAGCCCCGAATCAAGCCCGCTGGCGTCGGCGGGCTCGCCCGGCGAAACGCCCCCGCGTCCTCTGGGTTGAGGCGGGCCCAGCTATATCGTCGCATTCGCAGTGATCTAGCCGCGCAGGTCACGGCGGCGATAGGATCCGTTTTCGAATTTAGTAAACCGGTTCTTGCGTTTACTGAATGATGTTTAGTGCTGTTCCGATGAGGCGGCGCAAATTAATGAATCCGATTCTCGCGCTCGTGAATCATAATTTGTTGAATCTTTCCGTTTTATATTAAGATCGCGCGTTCTTTCGTTGCCGTGTCCTATGTTGGCCGGCGACGCAGGGCGGCGCGCAGGCCCGGCCGCCGTCGGAGTCCGCGCCCCAGAGCGGCCGAGGACGCCACGTCCAGTCGAAGCCCGCGGCGTTCGCCAGCAGAGGGCGGCAGCCCGGGCTCTGCGACATCTCCTTGCTGCGCCCCGTGGACATCGAAGCCGCCTCCTGCGTGGGCAGCGCGCGTCGGCGGACGCTGTGAGCCTGTCCCCGGCGCGCAGAATGGCCTGCGCGGGCGCCGATTCGTCAACTTGGAACGCCCTCGGCCGCGCCGCCGCTCCCGAGACTGGCGGGCGCGGGGGGCCTCCCGCGAGGCACTTGAGCTCTGACTTAAAAGTCATGCCCCTGCTGCTCTGGCGCCCTCGCCTGCAGGTCGCTCGCGCCCCCGCTGCGGGCGCGCGGTTCCAGCTGGCTTTCGCGAGCTCTGCGAGGCGGCCGCCCCCCTCGCAGACGCGCGGCCGCGCCCGCGGAGCGATGGTTAGCGACGCGCTCGCGGGCGCCGAATGCCACGCCGAGGCCATCGCGCGCGCCGGCGACCATAGCCCCTCGGCCGGGCCCGCCCCGATGCGTCGGGCGGCGGTGAGCGGGCGGGCTGAA